AGTACGCAGGGGCTGGGACATTCTGTGAATGGAAACATGGTCTTGCTTTCAAACAAAGATCATGGCCCAGAGCAAAGAAACCCTGTGGGCCTGACTCTGACACCTCTGTAGTGGAAAGTGGGTGAACTTAACAAAGGCTGAGACAGTTCGGATGATGTAAATACTTGCTCTGGCACCAGCAAGTCAGTTATGGAGGCTGGGCGGGCCTCGTGCTTCTGTCTGAAGCGCAGCACCTCTGGGGTCAGGAAAAGATTTCTTTCTGCACATCCTTGGCATGGCATAATTGGCGAGGTGTTTGTGTAATGGGGTGAAGTGACTCCTTCCCTTAAGACATCAGGGACTGGCTATAGCTGGCAGTTGTCTACTGAAGGAGACAGACCGGTAATGTGACCTGATTCATTGACTCCTAGCTGTACCTTTTACTGGTTTATTTTTACAGCTTGCTGTCTTTGCACAGGAGCACAGCACACTCTTGGAGGAGGGAGGTGGAAGGTAAATAAGCCCCTGGAAGTTCATTTGCCCATATGAGTCTACCTGTGTCAAGGGGTAGGGCAGCAGGCTGGCCAGATTGCTACCAACTGGCCCACATTACCTGAGTTAGGGTGAAACGACACATGCCACTTAGACCACACTGAATTATGGGCAATGATAAGCGGCATGCCCATGCTGTGGGCAGTGGCACCTTAAGGGTTAATGCCATTTCTTGCCTGCACGGCTCTGATTTGCCAGCAGGGGCATGGCTAGGAGCCCAAGCACCTGGGCTCTACCCCTGCTCTGCAAGAGAAAGGCTGGGAGTGGTGCATCCTGGGATGCTGGAGGACTGCAAATTGCTTGTTTTATCTTCATGGGGCGGACAACTAAGACAAGCTAGGTAGAAAGGCTCAGAGTCAACCCTTGCTTGTAGTGGCATAACTTTAGCCTGGTTGCCAGTGGCTACACCTACTCCCACCTGGTCCCGGTTGCCTTTCAGTGCTCAGCAGGCTACTCAGCAGGATAGATACCTCCCTGTCTGTCCTTGGGCTTCTGACTGCCTGCTCCTGGTTACCTGTGCCCTGGGTCTTGTTTCCTAACTTCATTCTTCTTCCAGACCTTTATCCTCTGACAGCCAGCTCCTGGCTTAGATATGCAGTTGTCCAATCCATGTCCTGACCCTGGCCTGGGTCCCTGCTCTCTGTTCCTGCTCCCCCTCCCCACCCTCTCACCTTGGTCTGTGCTTCTACCCGGGGTGACTGCCTGCCTCCTAATGGTAGTCCTAACAATTTGGCCAGTTCTCTCCATTCTGTCTCTTTGAAAACCAGTGACAGTGAAATGCTATATATGGTTCAGAGAAGTCCTTGAGATAACAGGTTACATCCAGGGCTTGGGTGTATGCATCGGCCCAACCCCTTCTTTACGGATTCAGGGAGGAGAACCCGACTCAGTGTCTGTTGAGTTTCTTTAGCTGTATAAGAAGGTGAGTTCTCATAAAAGATGCTGGATTGATGGCCCTGGAGACTGAAGTAGCTCTCACTGAGTGAATTTTGTGTGACCTGTGTGAATATGTCCTGTTCTTGTTGTGTGTTGTCCACACTGCAGACCCACCTACCCTGACTGGTCCCCTCCTTGGCATTTTTAGCAGTGTGGTCCCTCAGCAATAGGACCTGAAGGCTCAGCTCTTGTGTCCCTGGGGCTGGTCCTTGCATGAATGTCTGGTTTACCTGGAGAGTCTCTGGGACACAGATCTCTGAAACGTATATACAGCTAAAGCACCTGATTTGCTCTGTGTACCAAGTCCTGGATGCTAGTTAGGGGATCTGCCAAAGAACCTCCTTGCAAGGAGGCTAGAGCGCTGACAGCCATATGTCCGCCAACTGCTGGTACCCTGTGCTAGTAGGAGTGTAGCACTTGCTGGTGCTCATTCACTCCCAGCTCTCCTGCAGTCTCCTCGCCCACTGCAGTCATCTCTGTTGTGCCTTGTGGCAGCCCTGCCCATGCCCCCTAACTAGCTTTTTCCTTGAGACCCACTTCCGTTTAGCACTTCTCCACTTAAAATGTCAGAACAGATCTTGCTGATGCTTGCTTTGGGCACTTGGGGAAGCAGCATCTATTCCACTCAGCTGCAGAATCAGCTTTCTCCTGGACCTACCTTATTCCAATAGCCAGGACTCTTGTTTAGAATAATGTGTTTGCTCTTTCATCTTGTCCGTCATTAGCAATCATCATAAATCGCCTGCTGTATTCTAGGGACCGTCTCCTGTCCTGTCTCCCCTTCCCTACCCTGTACCCCATATGTTGGATTTCTAATCTGTATAGAGCTCCCAATAGCTGTGGGGAGAACATGCTCCAAGCAATCCAGTGCTCGCTGCTT